GGAACGCATTAAGTTCGTATCCTGAGGTACCACTGTATAGATAAGATCATAAGGCCATTGTTTTTCATCATATCATCAAGCATCTTACTTAGGACAGGGAAGGGCAACTTGTCTCTCACACAGAAGTTGCTATATAGCCTCATTCATCATCTCTCACCATTAAGCATGCTGGCTGGGGCTCATAGAAATTGAATTCAACAAACCCCAAAAGCCACCCCTGCCTTACAATCAGAGCAATGGGAGTTGCTGGATTTAGGAAACAGAGGGGTTTGTGGCTTTGTTTTCTAGTGGCCTATGCTTACCCTGAATATCTGCCACTTTCTACCTCCCCAGTCCCTTCTCGGACTCCTCTTATAGGCCCTGCTGACTCAAAGCATTGTTCTTTATCTCATTGTCTACCACACCTACCCTACTATAAGTCATCCTAGCAATCATAGACACCACTCCAAAGATTTGACCTACTTTGTGAATAATTTCCTAGATTTCCTTGATGAGGAGGAGGAAGGAGCTGATAGTCCTGAACCTACTGACCCTTTTCCTGATGTCAAGAGCCCCAGTGTGTTGGATCCCCATGTGTTCCCTGGAATGAAGAGAAAAGATAGGCCCTTAGCCACAAAGGATTATGGAAATAACATGAACTATTATAGCTTTCATCAGAAGCAAAAGAGGTTTAATGAAGAAGGAGACTTTACAAGGCAGCCTATCCCCATAGGCCCAAGCAGTAGGCCTAGCCTAAGTCCTCTGACTCCATCTAAGGGCTTCCAGACCTATGAGAATGCAGCACCCTTTGGAGAACATGTCATTATCAATGGCCGGTCCCTCAACTGGGCGCAAGATATGGAGAAGGGAAGGAAGGAAGGTGATCTGGGACTGCTGTCATCTTCAAAGAGAGGCAGCTCTTTCAGCCTCCAGCCTCACCTTTCTGTGCCCTTCTTTGCTGGAAAGACCAAGCAGCAGACCCCTAAGGATGAGAAACAATCCAAGAAGGTGACTAGCAAACCTCCAGAGAAAGTGTATGTGACCAGGCTGCAACCCAGTAAGAAGAAGGCCCCATCACCGAAGGATGTTTTCCCTGGAGTCTTCCTCTATCCTAGGTCACCAAGGAAGGTGCGACTGAACTCCAGAATCCCTCAGGGGCACCCTGCTCCCTCCAACAAACTCCACACTCTCTCTGCCCATAGGACACCTTTGCTCATAGGTAATACCACCAGGGAAGCAGATCTTTCTAAAAGGAAAGGCCTCCGAGCCAGCCGGAAATGGGAACAATTTTATGGTAGGCAAGTCCCCAAAGGCAGGATTAAGCGGCGGATGCACCCAGGTGCCTCGATCTTGCCTGCAGAAGGGCTGTTCAGCAAAGAAAACTTCGAAGTCACCCCTCCAGGAAGGACTATGTTAGATTTCAATTCCTCAGAGATGGTGCTATCTGAAGGTGTGCAAGTGACATCTTTCCTACAGATGTCAGAAATGACAGAATCTCAGCAGAAGGAGCTTGAGGGCCCCGAGAAGGCCCAGGAGGAAGAGGTGGAAGAGGAAGTGTCTGATTATAGCTATGAAAATTCTGAGCTGCAGCAGAGTTGGCTAGAGGACTCCATCAATTGGCAAAGGACGTTCAGTGTCAGCCCTGTTGACTTTGAATTGCTACGCTCAGACTGGAATGATCTGAGGTGCAATGTTTCAGGAAATTTGCAGCTGAGTGAGAGTGAAGTGGTGGATGTGGTGGCTCAGTATATGGAGAAACTCAACGAGAAGAATGGCGGGTAAGAATGGAGGAGGAATATGTGAAGGGAGGCATTATCACCAGAATAGATAAGGGTGGAATAAGGACCCCCTTCACCCTTCCATTCAGCAGTTAGGTATTCTACTCTGGGGGAAAATGGTACATTTGTGTGCTTGCAGGTCATGGGAAGGATCTTTCTGCCCAAGATCTTGTCAGAATAAAGGAGACAAAGCAATGCTAAATGAATGAATGTGTAGCTGATATAAGGTAGTTTCTTGGAGAAGAGTATTTGATGTGACCCAGGATTCCATATGACAGCTTTCTGTCCTCCCACCCCCAGCATCTACACTCTCTTGCGGATCATTAATGTTGAGAAGCGGCGAGACACAGCCCGTGGCAACCGCTATCTGATGGAGCTAGAGTTGATGGAGAGGGGTCAGAGAACAGTCCGGCTCTCAGAGTACATCTATGTCCTGCTCCACCAGGGCAAGTCAGAGGACAGCACTGAAGTCAACCCTGAAGGGCCTGCAACTGTGTCCACTGAATCTCAGCCACCACCTAGTGCCTGGAGTCTTTTGTATGGAAAACCCATCCTGTGCCGGCCTTTGCGGCTCAGCTGGAGGCATGATGTTATGGTGCATTTTGTCGTGCCAGGTAAGAGATTGCCCCAGTATCCCAGGAATGAAAGGCTGCTTTCCCCAGCAGAAATGGCATGACATGTGAGGCAGAGGGCAAACCAAGGCTGGAGACCAACTATAGTTGGGTTTAGGTTGAAAGTAGTTTGGAAAAAAAACCTCTCCTGGAACACACACACATTCTTTTTATCCTACTCTCACCTCTGGATAAATGAATTTTTCAGGTTGTTTTTTATCAATATATCAACCTATAGAAAAATTGGGGTGAATGTATTTAGCATGGGCATATTTCTTCTTTCATATTGTCTTTATTTTTTAAAAATGAATCAGGCAAAGAAACAGCCATGCTTGAGATTTTTGGCTCAATTCTTATGTTATCCAAGTGATGAATTTGCTTCTTCCTCATTGTTGTTCCTGTGGGACCTTGTTGACATGAAATGAGAGAAATTATGGGAGGAAAGTCTGTCTATGCCCCATTTGGGAAGGAAATGTGGGAAGGATAAAATGACTAAGATCTGTCCCTCCCAAGCTCAGCTGTATGCACCATGAAAAAAAGAACAGCAAAGAAAGAATACCGTATCCCTGATCTTAAATTATGTGTTGCTGTTTGCTTTGGCAAATCCCATATTCTATAATGAGAAAAGCAAAGATTCACTGATCAGTAGGTGATAAGGCAATTACAGTGGTACCTCGGGATACGAACGCCTCTACTAACTACCTTTTCAGGTTACGACCAGCTCCGGCCGCAAAAATTTACCTCGATGTGCGAACTCTGCCTCGGGGTACGGTCATTTTTCCGCCCTGACATGTGGTCCGCGGCCTGTTTCCGCGCCTGACACGTGGTCCGCGGCCGTTCTCCCGCCGTGCCACGCCCGGCCGTTCTCCCGCCCTGCCGCGCTCGGCCGGTCCCCCTCCGGGGCGGCCAGCATCGCGCCCCACCGCTTTCC